TATTTTTAATTATTAATGTTATTTTAATACTATTTCATTACAATCTATTACTATCATAATAGCAGATAAATCTTTGCTCGTATAACTTGAGTATTTTACTGATAAATAAAATCTGCAGTTTAATTCATCCAACGTGTTCCAATCCAAATCAATCGTTATCTTAGTAAATACTGGAGATTTCTTTCCATTTATTTGATAAAATAAAGACTATTACAATCATGTAAATCCTAAATATCAAAGTGAAGTACAAAGGAAAATGTTTTTAAGAACTAAGATTTCATTTTCTTTGTCGTATCAACCAAGACAGATCCGGTAAGATGAATCAGAGCATGAGAAATATAAGCCTTGCTAACAGTGATGTAGGCTGGGCTTCGGAAAGCCAAGGGCCCTTAATTTTTTATCATTGGAATAATTGTATTACTTCTAATAGAGTTTACTTAAGACACCTTTAACATGTAGTAAAGTGGAAGCGTTTGAAGAATTTTCAAAATGGCTGCCACTTTTGGCCCTTATTATAGTTTCGAACGACGCATTTTTTTAAGAGTTTTCAAACATCAAACCTTCTCCCATCTTATTCACATAAGACTCCTGTTAATGGAGAAAGCAATGCATGCTGTCTTTACATATAAGTAAGTTAAGATTAGCTAACATAGTTACAATTTATTAGTTAAAAAAACATTCAAGCAATATGTAAAACAAATACAGGGATGCGTACTCGTATATATCTATTAGAAAATATACTACATCCATTTATTTCGTAATCCTACAGCTTACATAAATTATATAAAACACTAAACAATTATACTTAAGATATACCTATAGATGGAAAACATAATATATACAAAAAGGTTTCAAACATTTACGAAAGGAAAAATCTATAAAATCAACCTAGATTCACACAGTATAAAATGTTTGGTTAAAATAGTTTTGACAGACATTAATAGGGCCCCAAAACCTATGGGCCCAAATGTACTAAACTACATATCTGGATTCTAACTTCACGCAAACTGAATTCGTCTTCACAAAGCTTTACATAACATTTCACTAACAACTAGAAAGTTATTAATAGTTATTTAAGCTCACTTTGACATGAATTGCTTTGATTCGTTAGCTGATTTAATAATCACAATTTTACATAAATAACTTCTTATGCAATTTTATATTGAAAGATCCTTTAAAAAAAATATTAATTGTTTGTATGCTTACTTCGTCGTACGTGTCTAATTTTCAACTGTAATAGTCGAAAAGTTATACCCATACACCCTATTTACTACCTGTATTTTTGAAGGAAAACTTCTTTAGGCGCATGAGGGTAATTTTTTTTAAAAACGTCACGAAGATGTGCAGCGTTTTTGTCGAAGAAAAGGGAGAGAGCGAGAAGGGTGAATTACCTTATAGAAATTCAACTTTTAAAATGAAAATTTCCTAAAGAGAATTTATGAAATATAAGTATTTTATATTTTATGCAAAATAATTTATTGAAATCTCAAATCACGAATTGTAAATTAAAATGCCACGTGTTTTTATTATCGAAGAAATAAATAAAAAAAATTAAATTTATAATTTGTATAAATTTCGACACTTTTAATATTTTAATGACAATTCAATTAATTCAATTCCTAACTTATCTTCCTTTTCCCTCCCTCTAAGTCTTGGAAATCTAAAGTTTTAGATTTGTATGAATATGAACAAGAGTTAAAAACTAGTTTGCAAAAAAGTTTCACTTCTGACATGTGTACTTTGTACGCACGCACTTTTTTATTTAATAATAGTATCGCTCAAAAATGTATTAAAAGGACTGATGTCATGTGCAGTATACATGAATAAGCAACATTAAAGTGTATAAAAGCAAGCAAGTTAATGAAAGGTTTAAATGGAAAATATGTTTAAAAAGTTTGGAGATTAAAATCTCAATAAAATCTGCCTTGCGATTTGCGATGGCATTCTGATGATGCCAAATCATATAATGACTGCTTCACCACTGATTTGAGCGCGACCGCCGCTGCGCAAACCGCTGTGAGAGTTCGAAAAGTGAGTTACAGAATCGCAAGGCTGTAGTTAAATTCTGTTATCGAAGAGCTGGATGCAAGTGTCTTTAAAAGTTTCCCAATCCAAACAATAGAAGGATATGTACTCAACAGTTTAAAGGTGCTTCCTATTACCACGTGTTATAAATTGAATTACGTCAATCTAATTAGGTATTTAAAATATAATCTGGCTTATATTTGGCGGACGGAAGCCGACGTTGTATTATAATATTCTTAATATTTTCCTTCAAGTTTATTATACAAGGCAGTATTTAACCGTTTAAAGAATAAATATAACGATGAAGCGCATGGAGCACTCATTTTTGTGTCTGTTTTATTTTGAGTTGAAGACATATTTTTCCAAGCACGTTATAAATGTTAACAAACAATCAATTGGCATACACCACGAACGAACGAGATCAATTTAGCTTGTTTTTCCTATTTCATTTATGTATGTATTTTATTTCTTGTGTAATTTTTTATATTGGCATTCTTGTTGATTTACGATCACGTGTTAGGACAGGTTTGTGTGTTATGTAAATAAAACAATCAGTGTCGCTACAACCTCTTTAAGTCTGGGCCTCAGATTTCTGAATCTGTTTCATGATCATTTTTCAATTTAATAGTCAAGTAGGTGATCAGCCTCCAGTGCCTGACACACGCCGTCGAATTTTTGGGGCTAAGACATGCCGGTTTCCTCACGATGTATTCCTTAACCGTTTGAGGGAATGTTAAATGGGCACATTAGAAAGTCCATTGATGCACAGCTGGGGACCGAACCTACGACCTCAGGGATGAGAATCGCACGCTGAAGCCAATAGTCCATCCAAGACTGCTCGTTTTTTAAATAAATAAACTAATGTAATGTATAAACTAAACTATTGAGAATCACATAATTACAATTATTATTATATAGTATGGCATATATAATTTATGATTTTGTTTGTAATTGTTTTTTTTTTTTACTTTTCAATTAAGTACAAAATAGGAAATGCATTTTAACTGAATCAAATCCAGTGCAAATCTTCGAATTTATAAAAAAGATTTACCATTTTCATTTCACTTATTTCAAATGCATCTTAATTAAAACATCTCTAGATTATATTATTAGTATTAATTGATTAGTAGATTGTATTTTAGTTTAAACAGAAAATTATCCTGAGTACTTTAGTTAGATAGTAAGTAGACAGTTTAATTACAAATAAGGGTTTATGCATATACGTTATAATTTCAGCGCAAATTCATTCGCAAACGTGATACCGACTTTTAAAAGTTCTATGAATTAGAGGCAATACTTAATCTGGAGTTTAAATATGACTTCTTTCTTTAATCGGCAGCTCATGTCTGTGCGTCGTGGTCAGCAAGGAAGCACCTATCTGTTTCCACCCGTTTCGGTCCAGCGCCTCTCTTATGACAGTGTACAGTTTTGAGGACGATGAGTTTTTTACTTGATAGGTCCATCTGGTTAGTGAACGGCCACGTGATCTTTTGCCTTCTGTGTTACCCACCACGATCAGTTTCTCCAAGTTGTCATCGCCTCTGCGCATTGTAATATGACTTCAGTGTGTAAAAATTCAATATGTCTTAGACATACTTGTAATATATTTAAGTGTCGGCTCTGAATCCCAAGCCTGTACAAATGATTTCTGGGCTATTATTAGAATTAAAACAGGATCTCTGTTGAACCGGGTACGAGGTGGTCGGAACAGCATCTTGAAGACTGTGGCAGATGACCGGTCTTCGCCTATCATGAGGCAATTTGTGCGTACACTTGTCGGTTCAGGTCGACTAGTCTATGCATAGACTTTTTATGAGTTTTATGTTTATCTTTTAATAATAATATACTAACACTAGTCTGTAAGTTTATACATAAGGATGGATTATTTTATCTGAACAAATAAAAAAAAAATCTTGTCCTAACCTATAAACCGACACTAGGTACTGAGGCTACAACTAGGCTAGGCTACAACGTCACTGCGATGACGTCATACCTGAAACGCGCTAACAAAGTTATTCCGCTAGGCCTATATACAGCTTCTCGATCTTGAACACTAGAGCCTTTGGAACAGTCAGTGGTCAGATTGGTTGAGAATCATTTGGGGTCGGAGAAAGTGCAGCTTAATTCCATATATATTTCTATGAATCGATAATAACAAATTAAATGATTCTAAATTTAAATTATCTACTAGATACCACTTTAGAAATCTAGGGCGTGGACAAGAAGAACTGGCGAAAACTTTTACACTTATAAATCGGTATTTCATTTCACAAAATGCTGCCTGCATCATTTCATTGGGGCCATATAAAGCCCCTTCGTTAAAAACAACTAATCCGAGACAAAGGAAGGCGATTTATTTCATACATTTTGAAATAAGATATCAGAAATATTATATTAAAATGTTTACTTTGTTAACCTTTATTGACGTAGGATAAAATATATAAAGATATTAAAGAAATCCCTTTAGGGGTTTATGTATCAGATAATGGATATAGTACTAAAATATTCTTCAAGTAAAGTACTAAGTATCGTAGAGATTTTTTAAAGTTTATCAGCTTATGTAAAGCCTGAAAATAATAGAAAGATTCGAAAATATTATTTTATGTATTCAAATTGCTTTTTATTAGGTGTACGAGTACACTGAACGGTTGGCAAATAAACAAGAATTATGTAATAATAACTTTGCATTGTAAGTATATACAAAATATATTCATCGTAAAGTTTATGTTTTATAGTATATATATATATAGTAGTATCGTTATTAAAAATTGGAGATTGGTTGTTGATTTATTGTCCTAGGGGCAGTCCACAATGCTTAGCCATCGGGTTCTTTCAGCAACGTACTTCAGACTGCGTCAACTCAATAGATCGTGCCTCAGCCACAACTGAAGGTAGCAAGGATTGTTTAGGGCACTTACGTTGCCCTTTTTCCTTGGGGAGTCCAGTCTAATGCAAAGGAGTAAAGGTGTGTCCTATTAATCTCCATTTGCGTTAATTTGAGATCTTCTCAGGCCAGGGAGTTGGTGGTAGTAGTGTGAAAAGTTACCTGTGCATTCCATTAAGTTCCTATGCTTTCCCTGATAACAAATTTCAATAGCATAAATGTCAGGTCGAGTATTGGCAATTTACGTGTAGACAAGCAAATAATATTGTATCATAAATGAATTAAATAAAGAGTAGTATTGGCCTAGTAGCTTCAGCGATTCTCATCGCTGAGGTCGTAGGTTCGATTCCCGGCTGTGCACCAATGGAGTTTCATTATATGTGCGAATTTAACATGCGCTCGAACGGTGAAGGAAAACATCGTAAGGATTGCCTTAAAAAAGGCTAAAAGTCTAATGCCTGTGTCAGGCACAGGAGGCTGATCACCTACTTGCCTATTAGATTGACAAATCCCCATGAAACCGATACAAGAGGCCCAGTTGTAGCAGTTTTTTTTAAGAATAAATTATTCATTCATTCTATGTTAAATAATATAACTTCCATTACTTACGTAGATATAAAGATACATTATACTGTGTTACCAGTTTATCAACGAAAATCGTGTGTAAATTTTATTTTATTCAACTATAAACTACGGTATCGCATAATTTATTGCAGCAAAACAACAGCATTGAACATCACGATTTTAAGAAAAGAGTTTCTGCTCCATTTACGCTTAAATGTTTGTGAGTTAAATTGTATTATGATTACTAGTTGACCCGACAAACGTCGTTTTGCCATGTCTATTATTTCTAGGAAACATTTTTTTTAGTTAAATAAAAATAACTATCTACTTTAATAAAAAATAGGGGTTGATCATAGAGGGGTGAATTAAGGGTTGTATGTATTTTTGTATGCTGTATCATAAAAAAATAAAAATAAAAAAGTTTTGTCTAAAAAATAATAATTTATTCCCACCACTCAACATTTAGGGGTTTCCCGATTCTCAGACCAACTGAATATGAAAAATTTCATAAGAATCGTTCGAGCCGTTTTGGAGGAGTATGGGAACGAACATTGTGACACGAGAATTTTATATATTAGATATGTAACATATTAATATTGAAATATGAAATCTAAACTTTAATGGTCTTAACAAAAAGTTCTACCAGCTGTTGCAGACGTAATCATCGAGGTGTATTATAGTTTATTAGTGACAATGACGCCCGATTCCATCACTTAACAGCATCACTGCACGGTGCATACCGATCCAAACGTATTAGTACCAGTTCTGTGTCGTCGTTTCAGCCTGTTGACATCCACTGCTGGACAGTCCCCTGAACTTCCAGCAAGACCGGTCCTCCACCCCTCGTATCCAATGCCTACATTCATATCTGTAGTGATGACGCATGGGATCACGCTGCTCTGAAACTCGACATTGAAATCACAATTGGAAGTTTCAGAATACCAATGCTGCCGTGCGATTCTGTTAATCCGTGAGTTCACCTCGCACTAACAACGCTCCCTTCGTCACTCACGTCATTTTTGGAATCTCATGGTATTCTGTTAAGAAATTTCACATTACGTCTTGACAAGCGGAGGGAGCTTGTAGTTTGTTGTTCATCAGAATGCCAAATCGTAAAATGACTGTTTCACGAATGATTTGAGCGCGACCGCCGCTGCGAAAACCGCTGTGAGAATTCGAAAAGTGAGTTACAGAATCGGAAGACTGGTCGTAATCGCGGAAAAATCTTACAGTGTCATTAACATTGATGTATTTTTGATTATTAATACAATCCAATATAACAGCATTTATTAATTTTAAAACTTTACAGTGGGGCTCCATATAGAACTCATCTTGGAGTCAATCATATGCAAGATTTAGCTATTCTGTAGATTTTTCTTTTCATGTAACCAAATTAAAACATGTATGGTGACGGTATTCTGAAAACCGCTGTCTTAGAATGAAAAAACAAAGGACCTTTTTTTTCTAAAAAACAATTGCAATCTGTGGCCTACAAGATTTATAATTGTTTACTTGTCTACACTGTTGACAAGACGACTACAACACAGTAGCTATAAACTTACAGTTGGCGTACTATGTATTAAAAGTCTTGGTTGTGTGCAGCCCAAGTGTTCTTCAGCTCGGTTTCTTTGTACCTATGGGATATTTGCGACGGCGAAGGCCAAGATTGTTTGCGATGCCAGAACCAGTCTGTTGCACAGATCTCCGTTATCGAAGACGTTGCGCTTACTGACAGATGTCTCTGATACCATCGACATATTTATATGTTCGCAGAGTGAGTTCATAGTAGCGATATTGTGTATATTATGTATTTCTCGACATTATCGTATTGGCATTATAGTCTGTAAGGATACTGTATGTATTTCTGTAAATAAATAATTGTAAATACATATTTCAATTTCAATCGGTGGAATATAATGAAAATCAAGTATAATTCTATTATAATTAATTTCTATAGAATTTAAATCGTCGTTAGTTCGTAATCTTTATTCAATATGACATAACAATGAGGGCGTGCAACTAAATAGGCATATTACCCCCAAAATTGTTCAATAATGATATTTCAATGGCTGTGACCGAAGGCATTCAGTTTGAAAAATGATAAGTCACAAACATTCTCGACAGCTTCACGGAATGGGCCTAATCGAGCGATAACATTTGGCCGAAATGTCATCGTTTTAGATTGGAGTGGAAATATATACAGCTATGGCTATCGGGTTCGGGAAAATGGGATATTATATAAATATTTATATGTGCTTATTACGTTGGTTTGGTTTTGGTGATTTCATAAGGAATAGTGCTTTTGTTTAGGCCTGTGCTATATCTCAATTGGTACCTACGTTTTTTTTCTATTCGCACCGAAATCCAAAAATAGAAATTTAATTATTTGTTATAGCACACCACATTTTCTACAGTATAAGTTGCTTTTCTAAAATACATGATAATTAAAAAATAAAAAAAAAACACTTCCCAAATTGAGAAGAGAAAATAATGCTCATACAAATTTTAGCTTTTACTTAGTAATTACTTACTTAAAAATACTTATTTCATATATTTTGTCTAATATGGATTAGATGGAATAGGTACTGATCAATGCTGTTTTAAATTGATCAGCCCACTACCGAATATATCAAGCATTGAATAAGAAACGTATAATATCCAGATATATTCGTGAAGAATTCGAATTCATAACACGAGTTAAGTTTAGTGGCTGTTGGAGGGATGTTCTAATAAATTAAACACTTTGTTAACAGTTAGGTGTCAACTCGCTTTAATCGTTTAAAACATGGGCTTATAACTAATATAAAGTAAGGTAGTGGGGTTGCGACGCTAGACTAACACAAAACTAAATTGACTTATTTAAGGGTTCTTAAATCAAAATGACACATTGGACATTATCGGAATCGAGAATGTTATTTTACAACTTCTGAGTGTTTACAAGTGCACAGGCGCTAATTAAATATTTAAGTTGGCGCCTGGTAGATAGTACCGGTGACCCCAGCTGGTGCTTTTCTCGCTCAAAAAATTCATCGCAATACAGCGAGGAAATGCTGCCAGCGTTAAAGACACTGCCGCAGGGACCAAACTTTTTAAATTTGTTTTATTAATTTTAATTAGTTTCATTATTACAATGTAGGTCAAAAAAATTATAAATACTGTATACTCTATTGTTATGTTTAGGTTTAAATAAACGATAATATTTATGAGTGTATTAAAAACTAAAGTGCACATTTATCACTTACATTTGACGCTTCTAATTATTAACTAATTTTATATATTAGTTCTTATTAGTTAATAATTAGAACGTAACTCATCTAACAAATAAATTTACACTTTATACATCTAATTCTTTAACACAGGGCAATCAAGAATTATTATTATTTAATGCTCTTTAGTGAATTTTTGAGTAATTTTAAAGGAATTTATCATAGACCATAATTACGATTCGATAGTAGTTAATAATCAAAATAAAATAAATATGAGTATCCAAAATTTATTATAATACTTAAAACAGGTACTTGTAACATTTTTAGAGTTTTGTTCCGACATAAGTGTATCTTAGCATATATCGTACATATACCTCGGAGACCGGTTTGAACTTACGAAAGCTACAATTTACTATAAAGAATAAAAATAAAACGATAGTTAAGATGGATTTAAACTTTGGCCAATTGTACCACTGGGGGCTTAGTCAAGATGCCTTAAAAGTAGTGTATGTAGAAAGTCGACAACTAAATTTGCATGAAAATTTGTCGACACGAACTATCATTTTCATACAAATTTTCATTCATTTTCAAAATACAGGCGTTACAATATTAATTGGCAAACATTCTACACAAATATCTTGATAAGATTTAGATAAAGAAAACTGCTATTAAGGCAGTTTTTGCCGCGCACCACCACTATGTGGTACCAGCTGCCCACTGAAGTATTTCCAAACCAATTCGACCTAGAGTCCTTCAAGAAAAGAGCGAACTAATTCTTAAAAGACCGGCAACGCACTCGTGAGCCTTCTGGCATTAAGATCGCTATGAGCGGCATCATAATCAGATGAGCGTCCTGGCCGTATGCCCCATGTTATAACATAATATACAATAAAAAAATATCTGATTGGACGGATGTATTTGTAAAAAGTAAAATTAAACGAAGCTAATATAAAAGATATATGTACCTATATAAATTTAAAGGCTGGCAACGCACTGGCGAGCCTTCTGGCAATGTGAGTGTCCATGGGCGGCGGTATCACTTAACATCAGGTGAGCCTCCTGCCCGATTACATATATTTTTATGTAATAGGTATTCTTTTATACATATAATACATAATATATAAGAATATCTATTACATATATTTTAAGCTGACCTTATTGACCTTACCGGCTTGATCTAGAATTATTAACTGGTCCTCACAGAAAAATATTAATTAGCCATTCACCGCCAATCTATCATATTTTTTTTTAAAATAAAAATACTTCAGTAACCGAACCCAAATTCTGTGTACATAATGTGATTAACCTCTACTATATGCAATAATATTGTAATTCTATGAAGCCGACAGGTCGTAGACAAGATACGAAATAGAATTTAATTTAATATCGTTGAAAGCGAAGTGTGAGTTCGGAGGCAGGCGATTGAACTCTCGTATAATGCTTCAGTGGGTCTGTGCTCGGATACGACATCCATTGGAATCTTGCCATGGCCTCTAGTAATCTTAAAATTGGCAACAGTTGAGCGGTAACTCAAAAATGCTAAAAAGTAGCTCACCTTTTTAATACTCACTGTTTTATTAGAGCAACTACAATTTCATTTTTCAAACTAGCCTTTTTATACTATGTAATTAACAGAACAGTGTTGGCCTAGTGGCTTCAGCGTCCGACTCTCATACCTGAGGTCGTAGGTTCGATCTCCGGCTGTGCACCAATGGACTTTCTTTCTAAGTGCGCATTTAACATTTTCTCGAACGGTGAAGGAAAACATCGTGAGGAAACCGACATGTCTTAAACCCAAACAGTCGACGGCGTGTGGCAGGCACTGGAGGCTGATCACCTACTTGCCTATTAGATTTAAAAATGATCATGAAACAGATTCAGAAATCTGAGGTCAAGACCTAGAGAGGTTGTAAGCGCCACTGATTTATTTATTTTTTTAATAAACAGAACAATACACAAATTAAAATTCAAGATGAGAGCGTATCAATAGTTAAAGGCAATGCAATTGCGAGCTTTCTGGCAGCGTGAATGTCCATGGGCATACTTGTTACACAACTTCAAATTTAAATACCTTCAAAAAATCGTACCGATTCTTAAAACACCGACAACGCACTTGCGAGCCTTCCAGCAGTGTGTGTCTATATAGCACCAGATGAGCCTAAATAGAGATAACAAAAGTTAAGCACGTTAAAGTATGTTGCGTATTTCAATATGCCTTTTGGTATAGGCCTCCTCCAAATGCAGTGGTACGAATTTCGTCTTCCCATCGGGCGGCCCTGTCTTCGTTAATGGGTAACGTGGATAGGCTAGGTTTTATTATACGCTTAAAGTAGCTGACCTAATGATATATGTCAGAGCAATGGCGCTGGTATCAGCTGCCATTGTCATAATTTAATAACGTTAAAGTCAGATTAGTTCAAAAGTGGTCTGTGGTTTATTTGATTTGCCAATATTAACAGATCTACAAATTATCAAGACTATTTTTTTGTTGGGAAATCAAGTAACAGATTACGCCGGGGCTACTTTAAAAGTGCCACGGTGAGTGTGGGGTTCGGTCCGTGAGGTGAAATGGCCCCCAACAAAAGAGCCCGGTAAAGGTTTCCCTTAATTCGTCAAGAGGATCTGCTGCGTACTGCAGAGCCCAACTCCTAGAGTCTGGC